GCTCAAGGGAACTCTGTATTTGTGGGCAGCACAACGGAAAGGGGATGTGACCCCACCTCCTGGATCTTCCCTTGGGGTCAAGGCCTAATTTATTCAGTCTTTCAAATACATACCGAGTTGTATACCTACTTCCCTTAGCACTGTCCGCACTGTGTGCATTCTTGCTGTGCTGCCATTAGTCTCCAGCCAGCAGATGTGCAGTTGTGACCTCTCTAATGGGATTCACAGGATGCAGTAGAGCAAGCTAATGCTAACTTACACTCCAACTCTGCAGTGAGCTTCTTGTGTGTTCAGGAGTCTGCCTGTCCCATTATTACTCCCTGTAGTGTCCACTTTTGTCACATTATAATATCTGTATTGTCCTATGACCAGACATTGCCCTTTTTTTCTTTTATGTACTAAGTATACACCACTTTTTAGACATGTTTCACTGAAACCTGCCTCCTTCTGCATCACACAACAGCGAAGATATATAGGTAGTCTATAGATAGAGCTGAATACAGTTTATTTGTTTCTTCTACTAGTTTGGTAGGGGACAATTAAATACCGTATTTACTCGAATATGAGGTTTTCCCTGCCCCCAATCAGCATGAAGGAAAAAAGCCCCATATCTTATATTCACATACCAGCAACCTCCCCTCCCCAATTAAATACATTCCCTATCATTAAACTGCTGCTAGAAGCAGCATGTGCTCAGTCATAGAAACCAACTATGAGGTTGATTGAATGCAGCCCATGCTGAGCATGCCCATAAAACATCTGGCCCATATTGGACAGACACATTGATTGGGAACCTTTTTTTGTTTTACTACAAATTTTCTTGAAAGCACACATCACTTTACACTTACAACGCTCCACATATTGAGCATCCATGTTTCACGAAGACTTCATACCACAAAACAACTACATATCAAAAACATAAAATGACATATGTTAAACCCTTAAACAACATGCATCAACTTCCCACAAAAAACCCTTATAGAACTCTATTTCTTCATACAGAACCCCATGAATATCAGATCTCATAGTTTCATAGTGCTTAGGGTCGGAAGAGACCTAAACAGATCATCGAGGCCAACCCCGTCCCTCAGAAAAAAAGCCCTATTGCCTCAGTAACCTCCTGAAACTCTGTGCTCCTCCCATCAGTCTTCTCTGTTGGTTCACCGAAACAAGTGTGTCCAGTCCAGTTTCCTCTTCTCCACCTGCTCTTCTCCAATCTCTTCCTTGTCCTGATTGATGTAGTGTTTCAGTTCATGCAGCACCAGCTTCAGGCACACTCTTT